TTTAAAATATTATACTTAAATCAAAAATACTCTAATAAAGATAAAATATCAAATATTTTAAAATTTACAACAAAAATTCTTGTTCTATTATGACATTTATTAAAATAAAAATCTAATTTTTTTAAAAAATCATAATTAGTATGCAATTATACTATCTATTGGAATTTAATTTGGTCGTTTAAAACAACCAATTAAACTACCAAATTACCCCAATTAAAATTAGAAAATATTATGTTCATTAAGTTTTTCCCTCTGTTTTATTTTTTAATTTTTATTTCAATAGATAGTATAATTGTATACTAATTATGATTTTTTAAGAAAATAATTAGATTTTTATTTTTGATTATATTTCAATAAATGACATAATAAAATATGAATTTTAGTTGTAAAATTTATATTCTATTATGAATGATTTAGACCATTTGTTTGATTTTTTTTAAATTGTATTTCAATAGATAATATAATTATACTAAAAAAAGTATAATTATACTAATTACTATTTTTTAAGAAAAAAATAATTTATTTCAATAAATTATACAATAGAACATGAATTTTGATTATAAAATTTAAAATATTTAATATAAAAAGAAAACACATGCATTTGCACTTGCACACGTATACCCACGCATTTGCTTCAAATGAACTAAAGCTTAATCATAGTTTGGTGTGATGCACTATGTTGACAGATTTTATGATTTGGGTTCAAATGAATTTCTTCAGGGTTTAGTACTTAGTTTTTTGACGATTTTTTCGTAACATTGAACATTTGAAATTGAAAATTTGCGATGATTAAATATATAAAGTCTTATTCCATTTATTGCGAAATTGTTATTCTAACTTGATTCTAAAATTCAGATGAATATGAAGTAACCTTCTCAGTGGAACAAGACCTGCGTTATTAAAAAAAAAAAATACAAAATTCAAAAAAGAAATAAAGTTGAGCCTCAAAATTCATTGCTTTTAGCGCATCTCTAACCCTTATTTTTTTTATTCAAATTTAAATATAAGTAAAAAAAATCCCTTAAAAATCTTTTTCAATCTTATACTCAAAATCATACCAAATTAAGAGAAATTCAAACATTTACCCAAATCAAGTGGGTAACCAGATTGCATAGTTGGTCGAGTGGCAAAACTCTCTGCCCAAATAATTTTATTGCAAAACTTTCAATTCACTAAATTTCTATTTTACCTCTAGTACCTCAAACTCAACCCGTTCACATTTTTCAATATTTTTCGACCTCTCATATTCATTTACCAAGTTATTTTAATTTAAAAAATATCTACATTATCACTTTATGTATTCCCTTGTTTATCCCCCAAAATTTTTAAAATTACTTCCAATGGAAACTATTCTCAACCTCAAATTTACTAACCTAGATAATCATGCATACATATTTAACTGGGGATTTAAATATCAAAACAAAACAGATGGGTTTACGTGCACCATCTCCCTTGAGTGTGTCCAAATAACAACTAAACCCCTTGTTGTTTGGATAATAACATTGCATTATCTTTTGCTTTGATTGTTATAATAGATTCCCCAACCGTTTATGAGTTGTTAATGCGAAGTCACAAATTTGACGATGTGAATAACTCATTCTTTTACATGGGAGTATTGCTCTTTTAAAATTTATTGACAAGTTTAGCTCAAAGCCAAAAAATCCATTTTCATGTTATCAAATACATAAAATAGTTGTCAAACTCACTTTTTGACATTCCCCAATCAGCTACTGCATCCTCTCTTCTCTCCTTTCCGTCCTCTGGCATCTCCTTTCACCAGGCTTTTCGCTCTCTCTTTCTCTATCTCCCAATATAATTCAGCAAATGTGCAATGAAGGCTATCCACCCAAGCCCCCAAACCATCATCATCGCCACTACCATACACCATTGGTTGCTTTGTCAAACATTCCTACGATCACAAACGTCCCCCCACCCCTCCTTGAACACTTGCCCTCTGCGCCACTAACAATGCCCATACACACATAATATCATCACCCAACTAAATACAGAGAAAGAGAAGAATTTCAAAGAAGAAAAATAGTGTTGCCACCTCCATCACTAGGTAAACCACTAGCATCACACAATAGACCAACAATGCCACCTTAATTTTAACCAATTGCATCTGGAAAAAGCTTGAAGTGAACCTAAATTTTATTCAATTGAGAACCTACACTCGAGAAACCACATGCATTCGGAGTATGGTTAGGCCTCCCATAAAAGGTCTTGCTGAGATCATATCTATTGTATCATATTAACGAACAAGACATTCGAGTATGGAGTTAAGGTTAATCGAAATTAGAAAGCAACTAAGATTGCAAAAGTTGTGGATGAACTGTGCAGTTAGAAGAATGGCTTTTGAATGAGATGATGGGTGCACAAGGGTTGGGGTGTGCAGTGAGGGAATTGGTTTAAGAGAGAGATTGACGGTTAAAAGATGATGGTGATAGCGCTGAAAGATAAAGGTGACAAAGATGGAGATGGGAGATGGGTGGTGATGTAGGTGGAAAAGAAGTGCAACAATGTGTTGTATGTGACAGAGGTACACACCTAGTGAAGGAAGCTAATGTCATCTTACAAATTCTGAAAGAAAAAAGATACGGTGTGACTAACGGTGGAGGCCAGTGCTATTATCTATACAAGAAGGGTCTATTTCTTATTTTGATATATCTCAGGGGAAATGAATGTAATTTACCCCAAAAATTATAAGTCAAATTTTATTTAATAACACGAACCTGATTCAATACAAAATTTAAAAATAACACGATTAATTGACACGAATAATAAATAGTTTAAATTAAGATTTGATTTGAATAATATGATTAATGAATACTGTAAATAAAAAATAAGTATTTAAACAAATATTATAGACAAAAAATAAGAATTTTTTATTTTTTTAAATAATATTATATGAGTTGTTAAAAAAATAAATAATTTTTTATTAACGTAAACCTGACACGTATTAAAAGTGTTTCGACACAAAAATAACACGGTTGAAAATGACACAACACATGATTGACACCTATTATTTTATGTCCATTATTATACCTTATACAATTAAAACATGTTTCTAGAAGAACGAGAAGTACATTTTTGATTTTTCTCCCATTTGACAAACTGTGGTTTGAATGCGTACCATTTTCGCATACTCTTCAACTCTTTCTACCTTCAAATTCAAAGTAACCGCGTGATTCGCAATTTCCTATGTGCATCCTTCCCATCAAAGTATAGGACCAAATCCCTTACCCATCTCCCTCTATATTCCATTTCACAGGTATCACCTCTCTCTCTCTCTCTCTCTCTCTCAATTTTGTCTTCTCCATTTCAAATACTTTATAATTTGGTCAAATTCAATACCCACAAATTTATTTCATTGAGATCCATTAAAGTTTAATTGAATTTGAGTGAAATCATCTATATAGAGACGCCATATCTGAATTCAATTCTCTCTCTCTCTCTCTCTCTCTCAAATCTTCACTTTCTCTGTCTGATTTTATTTTGTTGCAATTTAATTTGGGTTTCTTCTGGGGCTAGGGTTTTTGAGTGGAGGGTGAGAAGAAATGGGGCAACAGTCATTGATCTACAGCTTTGTGGCTCGGGGGACGGTGATTCTTGCCGAGTACACGGAGTTCACGGGGAATTTCACCTCCATCGCCGCTCAATGCCTCCAGAAACTACCTGCTACCAACAACAAGTTCACCTATAATTGCGACGGCCACACCTTCAATTACCTCGTTGAAAACGGGTTCAGTGAGTCCTCGATTTTTATTTTGTTGTATTCCATTTTTTTTTTTTTGCATATTTATTGGTATCAATGGTTAATTTATCTCTTTCCTGCTTGATCAGTTATTTTTGTCGATATTGAGGTTGGTGGATGTGTTTTGATTATTCAACTGTTCATTTTGATTCGTTTATTGAATTTCGTGATTTATGAGCATAGATACATATAGGTACATGTATTTATACCCATACGTAGAAGAGGTTTTGATTGTTTACCAATTATGTAGGATAGACAATATATTTAAATCGGGATGTTAAGGTTTTGAGAGTGTGTACCCGGATAATTAGATTATGAAATTACAAATGAAGCCCCAATAGCAATGAATCAATATAGGATTTTTATTCAAATATTTTGTTGTCGACCAATGAATTCTAGAAACTGGTAAACAGCTTGACTGCTTGAGGGTAATTTTATGCCAAATTTTGGTTGCAGTTTCTCCTCTATACTGTGTGTATAATGTTCGTTTTTTTGGAATCTGTCAATAGAATTTTTTTTTTTGGAATCTGTCAATAGAATTTTGAGGATCTTACCGCATATTTTCATCTGGTCACGGTCGCACATAAGTAATTTACGAAAATTCTTTGTGGTCTAGCAGAACATGTGGTTATACCATAACATACAATTATACTATAGCATAGTATATTTGCACGTAGCAACTTTAGCTAGTTGGTCCCCAATTCTTGTTTTACAATTTTATTGAAGGGCCCAGATAAAAGCCAACTACTTTGGAACCAGATTCAAAGGTCACCAAAACTGAATTTAATGAAACAGGTTAATTAAATCAATGAGGCTTTCTCCTTGTTTGAAGTGATAATTCAAATTCCTAAAACACTTCTGTAGTCCCGAGCTTGGTAAATAACTCCATGGGAAATCAAAACTTCCTTCTTGCCTTTTCACAAATAAACTATGGAAAAGAGCCCATATGGCAGCCCACAGAAAAAATTGCCAAAATATGCCTACGTTAAAACCCAATTACTATACTATTTATTGTCAACAACGTAAAATAAATTTCCCAGAATTGCAATCAGTCGAGTTCACCTAAAATGACCCAATTTCCAGATTTCTCCTATCAAACTTTTCTTGGTTTTCCAAGTTGCACTGACCTGAAGCAGTCAGTTAGACTTCCAAGGAAGTCCGTGTGAAATGTTCGCTTGGTAGCACATACGTGACTCTGGTAGACCTTAAATGACAGAGTTGCAACAGTGTGTGCTTCTTTATTCTGGATTGAAGATCTTACTGTTTGAGTCATGCATTTCAGTTAGAACTTCTTAAAAGTTGCTGGGTGATTGCAGAATGCAGACTTGATGTAGTATGCTCTTGTTTATTTATGGATTAAAGGTTTATTATTGTTTGACTCTTGCATTTCTGTTTTAAACTCTTAAAAGTTGCATGATGGTTGCATCATTCCCCCCTCCCCCCGGCGGCTGCGCGTGTGTTATGTCTATTTATCCGAATGTTTTTCTTGGTCTTGTTTGTAAGTGTTTTTCTCCAATAAAATTTGCAATTATCACATTCGTAGCATGTATGATAACAGATGAAGTCTAATAACTGCTTACTTAAGATCCAAAGTTACTCTTCATAGGTAATATACTGATCAAATGACGATGCTTTAATGCAGAGCATTAATGTTGTACAATGACGAATCATGTCTCGCACAGTACCTTCGTTGATGACACTTTCTTCTGTTTTCTTTTGTCTCTTGTTTGAACTTCGTTTTGCTACTAAAAGATAAATAGGTAAAATCTAAGATTGTGCAGATTGGTTTCTGTTGAGGCAGTTAGGCTGATGCAATAGTCCGAATGACGTGTTTTCAGTGGTTCTGTTAATAATATTCCTACTGCTTGTATTGATGTGGTACTGACTCTGCAATTGTATTTGGACACTGCAGCGTACTGTGTTGTTGCAGTTGAGTCCGCAGGCAGGCAGATTCCCATTGCCTTTTTAGAAAGAGTTAAGGAAGATTTCAACAAAAGATATGGAGGAGGGAAAGCTGCAACTGCTGTTGCCAACAGCCTGAACAAAGAATTTGGGTATATTTCTCAGTTTGATGTTTAAAAGAGATACACGTTTGTGGTTTTCATGGACATTGCTTAACCCGTAAAATCGCCATTTTAGTTCCAGATTGAAGGAGCACATGCAGTACTGTGTGGATCATCCGGAGGAGATCAGCAAGCTTGCTAAGGTTAAGGCTCAGGTTTCTGAAGTTAAAGGAGTGATGATGGAAAACATAGAAAAGGTAATGAGTGTTTTTCAGGTCATCTCTTAATAGTAAGACTATTAAATTCTACCTTGATTTGTTACAAGGAGTATGTTTTTTATGCATGTGCGTGTCTCATTATCCCTACACTGCAATTTTGGTTGAAGATCCTCGTCTCTTGTGCAGGTTCTTGACCGAGGAGAGAAGATTGAACTGCTGGTGGACAAAACTGAGAACCTTCGATCACAGGTTAGTTTGAATTATTTCTTGTAGCAATTCACTATAAGATACGTGTAACTGTTGAATTTGCAAGAAATGATTTCTGTTTTGCAATTAACCACCCATTCCCCCCCCCCCCCCCAAAAAAAAAAAACAGAAAGAAAGAAAGAAAAAAACCAACTGGAATCTATGAGATTGCTGTTAGATAAAATTTGGAGGCGGCTTTATTTGGTTGATTTCTGCCTGTTGCACATGGGAAGTTTCACAATATTCAAACTGAAGTTTGAGATATTGCTGATGCTTTGATTCAATTTATTTTATTTTTTTGAATGACCTTCCTCTGTAGTACTGGATGCTGTAAGAGTTTGATGTGGTTAGTTTTCTGGGATTTGATTTAGGGGTGTGTTGAATCTGATTGTGTTCTCCAGGCTCAAGATTTTAGGCAACAGGGGACCCAGATGAGGAGGAAGATGTGGCTCCAAAATATGAAAGTAAAACTCATTGTGTTGGGTATCCTCCTTTTGTTGATTCTCATCATTATTCTGTCTGTCTGCCGTGGCTTCAAGTGTTAATTTGCACCGAACTTTCCATCGATTCTCTTGCTGCCATCTTGATTAGAACTGTCTTGCTGGGTTCGTTTTCCTTTCCATTCTGATACTCCATCTTCCAGTTTCTCTCCTTATTGCACCTCCCCTTTCTACTATCCTCATAGGACCAGGAAGGGTTTGTATTTTGGATTTCAATGTATAGGCGATTTGTAGAAATTCCTTATTATTGTAGAAAAAACTTCTTTATTCATCAGGCTTTTTTTTTTGTTTTTTTCATTGTTGAGACATTTCATATGTAATGTATGATACTTGCAGATCCGATCAGTTTTATTTTTTCAAATGTCATAAAAATTTGCTTCCTTTTTAGCTTAATTCTCTTGGCGAGCGAAATATGTCACCGGCAGAGGCATCAAATCTAAAAGAAATGATTAATTTGGGGACGTAATTAGTTATAACTGTGAGATTAAAAGTGAGATCTATCTAACAATTGAACTCACAATTAATATAATGACTGTAATGTATTAGGTTATTGATTGAGTCTTTAAATTAGATCCCGATAACATTGTTTAGAAAAAATTGTCAACCAGTAGTAGAGAAGTGCTTTATAAGCTCACCTACCTAATGTGGAATATAAGGTGCCACATTAGTTGGAATAGGGATATGGGTGAAAAAATTTGGTTAGTGTAGTTTTATGTGCTGCTCGGCCAATTGCACTCAACTATCAAGTTCGTTGAAGGACAATTTATTTATCTGATAGAGATGTCAGTGCTTTATCACTGTTAATTACTTCATATGGAATGCAAGTGATACCAAAAATATCTTGTAATCATCCTAGCAGTGGTTGTGGTGTCACTGTCAGATTTGCAAGCTTATTTGGAAAGCATATGCTAATATTCATTAGATTTTAATGAGGATAGTGGAAAGTAAAATACAATCAAGGAGAGTCGGTTCGGGTGGTTAGAATTTCATCTTAGGACTTAAACCGTGTCAAAAGAATTTTATGGTGAAAGTAAGATTCTTATTGACAATCATTTAGAGCCGGATGAAAATGAATTTATTTCTCATGAATATTTCAGTCCCGGTGTAGATGATTTGTCTTTAACCAAATCGGAGAAAAAATTAGTTGAGTGTGCGTAAATTAGTTTAAACAACTTTAACCGTTGAACAAAAAAAAAAAAAAAAAAAGAGCAAGTTATATCGTTTACAATGCAGAAGACCTAGAATTTGATCTCTATATGAAACATTACCATTTTTTCCTTCCTTTCTCGTAAGAGTAGATTAAATCCATCATTGTATATTTAAAAAAAAAACACGGAGTAATGTACTTGCGCCAATTTGTTCTGCTAAGCAATCATCAATTGCGATTTATAAAAATAGAGATTGAAATAACTTACAAAAAAACAAAAATATAAAAGAACCAAGGCATTTGTGAATATGGCATGGGCTGTCGACCCCTTTGGCATATGAACCACCACTACACCCATTTATGTAGGATTACGAGTAAAAGTTAAAGCATCCACCATCAGGATAGTGAAAAGTTATTCGTTGTCGATATTGTACTAAAAATTATAATTTTTTAAGGTCAAGTTATAAGTTTTGAAGATGTAAGTTATAATTTACAAATGACATGATGTAAATTATAGCCGACCGTTAAAACAAAACTTTGTTAAGGGTATAATAAAAAATTCTCGAATTAAGTGCAATGCTATGACTTTGGACCTCACGGTAATGACCAGACCAGGCATTAACCTCTTCACAAAAAAACATTAGAAAGACCAATATTAACAACCTCTCTGAATGCATATTATACACAACTGAAAATTAGTCCATTAGAAAGGCTATATTACCCTGCAACTCCTCTCTGAATGCATATTTTACACAACAGAAACTCTCTTACGCTCTTGTTTTATGAACATGTATGTACTGGCTCACACACTTGGATGAAAAAAGAACAAAAACAAAAGAGATCAACAAGCTAATTGATCTCTGTATGTTGATATTTCTTCAAATATGGGTAGTCTTCTTGATCTAAATGGGGCCAAATGGTTCATCAACTGGTCAAGCCCTTCAACAAAAGCGTCTTCTAAACTCAATTCCAAAGGGGTTGTAGATAATGCTGTAGACTGGCATTGCTCTAGTTCCTTCAATAGTTCATCTGCACGATTCCTCGTTTTTGGGTCATCAGATCCTGAAAGCTTACCTTGGAATATGTCTTCAAGAACTGACCTTGCCTCAGCATATTGAGTTTGCTTGATCAAGCACAGGCACAGGTTGCAGGCCTTATTAGCATCAGGGTCTATCTGCTGAGCTTTATGATATACAACCTCAGCAGCTGCAAAGTTTGTCTGCTGCATGTAGGCCCAACCCAAATTTCCCTGCATTACATTCAAATAGGAAGGAACATTTAGAACAATTTGACTACAGTGGTGAAACAGGCACTGAACTTAAGAGACAACTAACTCTGAATCAGGAAATAACTTCTCTGATTTTTAATAGGCTTATTTTTCACTCTCTTTGGCTTCAAGCTTGCTTAAAGGGCATACCTTACAAAATTATCACCAGTCTGGACTACGAATGCTAAACTAGCATGAAGAAGTTCTTGAAGTAATTGATTATCATGGACCCAAAAAACAAGTAATTAATTACCAGTATCCTGGAGGTCTCTTGCTTGATGGTGACTTGGAACTTCTTTCCATGGGAGCGAGCTGTCTTTGTAGCCTTTCCGTTGAATGCTTCTCCTTGGTTAATCATCCGAAGCTTCTGCTTCAGCAGTTCAATCTGCTCCTCTAATCTCCCACATTTCTGTCGAATCCATCACAAATATTTGTGAGAGTAGAATTATACAGAAATAATGTTGTTTGTGAATTCCACAAGGTAACATGGTTACCAGAAAGATTCAAGAAAACAATGTTAACCATGTTTATTTTCATTAAAATATTGCATTCGTGCCAAAAATTAGCGATCTGTTTCTTTAGGAATGACAGCATCCAAGTTTCTGTCTGTCAACTTATTTCTGAATTTGGGCTTGGTCCCTTCCCAATACGATATGAATAGAATATTAATGTGCGCGAGCAACCTTGCTAAGCGAAGAAAGCTCTTCGAGCTTCCCTTATACTCTAGAAAGGTTTTAGAAGGGGGGCAAGGAAGAATTTCATTTGGTTACTCAGAAGATGGATGAAAATAACAGAAGATTTGAAGACTACGTCGTTAGTAGCATTAGCCCTGTGTAGCTGTAAGTTTTGAGTTTTTATCTCTTTCATCCATCTTCAGAGCAACTGAACTGGTACGCTAAAAATACTTAGTAAACCACGTACTCGGTGAACTTCTTTTTGATGTTATCATGGTTAAAAGCTTATGACAGGAATTTGTTGCCATAGCCCATGAAAAGAACCAATAGAAATAAACACAATGACTTGAAAGGCATTTAACCTTTCTCAAGAGAGTGCATAAGTTAACAATTGTTTGGGCATCTATGGTTATTCTGATTGTCTTTCACATCAAAGTAGCAAGTGAAGTATCAGACAGCCAATTCAGTAGTTAAAGATGTACTTGTTACTGCAACAAGGTCATATTATGGCTGTCGTTCCCTCAAATCCTTTGAAGTTTTACCTTGTCCAGGTGTTAAAAACAAACACTTAGAAAAAGAGAGACGTTTTAAATATGGTCACTGGCAGCATCTGTACCTTGTATAAGTCAATGAGGACATTGTCTAGTGATTCCTGTGCTTGTTTGGAACAGCGGTCTCTGAAGGACTTAACAGCTTCAATTGCTTCTTCAGTCCTATCTAGTTGTTTCAATACTATTGCCATGTCTTTGAGTGCACTGTCTACTCTATCACCAGCATTTATCGCCTTCCAAAACAAAACTATCGCTGCTTCTGGGTCTTTCTGAACTAACTGGGGAAACATACAAAGCAAGCAATGAAAAATCAATAACTAGAAATTGCAGATACACGGTGACCAAATTACAGGAGTTGATACATTTCTCAGAGTCTGAAATAACTACATTCATATAAATCTATGCAGAGAGGAAAATGAATCAAGCCAGGCATTTCCATCACATGGGATGTTCCAACACACATTTTCCCTTAAAAGTACTTAATATATAAAGCTAAATTGGTATAACACGGGCAAGGATCAAAATTTCGTTTCGAAGTATCGTTTCGGTCAACTCAAAAATAGAAACGTTTCGGAAACATTTCGGAAACGCAATGGAAACGCATAAAAAATATGGAAACGCATAGAAACACAAATGCAATCCATTAATTTATAAAGATATGCTAAATAATTTATTAATTCAACATATTTATTAGGTTAACATCAATTTATACAAGAATAAATTTAAATTTGAGGGAAAAAAAGGCTTGACTTGAGGCGAAAGTCACTTAAATTAGTTTCAAACACTTAATTTTTATGAAATAAACACATTTTTACATAATATTAACGTCTTATAATACACATGAAATGCTAATGAGTACATACTTACATGATTACATCCATTTCCCTGTGGAGTGTCGAGCAAGCTCATACATCGGTGTAGGCTCTGGGTAGCTACTTAGAGAAACTCCATATGTGACATAAATATGATGACAATAGTTACTCCAAATCATATTATTACGGTAATATAATCCAATTAATAATACTATTTTATTATAATACTAATAATGAAGGGTATCAAATTAAATTAATGATACTTATGTATACTTAAAAATTAAATGTAATTGCAGTGGGTATTAAATGTAATTACAGTAGGTATTAAATATAATTACATTAGGGTATTAAATGTAATTGTTAATACTTATAACAAAAAAAAAAGCAAAAAACTTGCACAGCAGTGAGGTATTAAATATAATTACAGTATGTATTAAATATAATTATAATGGGTATTAAATATAATTATAGTAGGGTATTAAGTGTAATTATTTATTCTTATAACAAAAAAATTATAAAAGACAGAAGAGCAGTGGGAATTAAATGTAATTATAGTGGGATATTAAATATAATTATAGTGAGTATTAAATGTAATTACAGTGGGTATTAAATGTAATTATAATGGGGTATTAAATATAATTATTCATAATGAACCGAATATATCACTGTTTTGTCGAAACGGTTCGAAACAATGCCGTTTCGACCGAAACGGTCCGAAACAGTACCGTTTCGACCGAAACACTGGAATTTTGTGATTCAACTACTGTTTCGTTTCGGAGTGTTGAAATTCCGAAACGTTTCGGACGTGTCGACACGACATTTTGATCCTTGAACACGGGTGGCATGGATTGGAAAAGGAGAGGTAACGAATGGTTCAAATCTTAGTGTTGACACATATAGTTTAGGTGTGCATGTGTGTGGACAAAATGTGTTTAGTGCCAACATGGTCCATTGCCCTTGAAACTCTCATATGTGCCTCTGGTCTTGAAAACAATCTCTTCTAGAAAGCCATCGATCAGGCACAGGAAGAGGTTCGGACCCCTCTCTCTCAAGCCATTTTCAAAGTAAGCTGATCAATCTTCTCTCAAGTAAGTTAGTCGCTCGAAAATTATTATCCAATTAACATTGCCGTAGATAAATAATCTTTCATTTCGTGCTTTGTCCATACCAAGTTAAGTTATTTGGTGCCTTGGGTTCTATTCTTTTAAGAATAAGATTGTGAATTCAAACTGTAGATGGAGACAATGGTAGTGAAATAGGTTCCTTTAGTCCTTTTGTTGAGCAAGATAAGGACAAAATAGGGAGTGGGAAATCTTATATCAATAGGACCAACAAAAAACAAATGCTACTAAAAAATGTTTGTATTAGGATCCTAGTGCATGGACTCTCGTGATAAATTTATCTCTCATGAATATCCTAATTCCGGCATGGATGACCTGCCTTCGATCAGACCGAGGAGAGGATTAGTCGAGCTGTGTATAAGCTAATCCGGACACCGCAAACCATTAATCAGTTTTTTAATAAACAAAAGTTTTATTAATAGATAAAAAAAAAGTATTAAATTATTTGAGTGAATGTGGAAAAGTTGTCCAACCCTAAAATCACACAAAATAAGGATGCTTTTAATGCAAAACATAGTTGCGAAACTTCAAATAACCAAAACCAACTTGGAGTCTCACTTGGACAAAAAATTTTTAGCAAGTAATTTGGATAATATGGTGGGGTTAAACATACTTGATATAAAAATATATGGTAACAACACAGTGAGCTGTCATTATGGTTACAATCTGTGTTTCTAATTCCTTGGTAAGCCCTTTTTTATTGTATTATGATGCCTCTAGTGCTAAATTTCCTTGATTGCCTCAAATCTAGATCATCCACCCTACACAAGGATCTGCTCCACTAGATAATTTTAAATACCTCAACTCCAGATCATCAATCTTGCATTGATTGAGTCTTAGACTTGGGATTCGACACCATGATGAAAGACTACCCTCATGATTAGACCACACCTTTGAGATTTGATAAAAGAAAGGTATATTAGTAGCTAATACGTTGTAATTGGATAAGTTATTAGGAATATGACGGAACAAAAGACCAAGGAAAAAAAGTTGGCTTCACAATAGATGAAAGATAAGTAGGGAATTACTATTGAACAGAATACCAAGTCCAATTTTAGCAACTATAATGGGATTTAGATCATCTTCGGTACACTTTTTCTCGATCTTTATCCTTAATGGTTGATTAAATTCAAGTAGAACCTGATAAATAAAAGGGGTCCACACAATGCACAATGAATAATCTATCAAGTAGAATTGTGAAAAAAATGTTGGGAGTGAGTTTTGGATCCACAGAGTGCTTTAAAAAATTTGGGTGGCGAGTACTTCCACCAAGTCCATGGCATTTGAAAAACTAGGGAAAGTCCATGGTACTAGAATTTTTTTTTTTTTGGTACCGTATCCTCGGTTATCATTTTTTATAGTAAAATTATAATTTTAAAAAGAGAAATTATAATTGTTTAAGATAGGTTATAATCGATCACAGATACCCACGATTAATCATGACCTCTCAGTATCGATCATGTCTTTTAAAATTGTAACTTACATCTAAAAAAAAATTATGTTAAATTTTACAAAAGTTATAATTTTCGGTTAGGTGCGCCTTTCCCAAAAAAACTATACCAACAACCAATTTATACTATTGTCAACTTGAACACAACTTGTCAACAATAGAAAGAGAAATGTCAACCTGAAACAAATGGATCCGGAAAAAACGGCCTCCTTGAACCACACACAGTGACTCGGTCGGACGATTCAGACATGACTCAGCTCAGTGACCCCCCCGGGGAAAATGTCAACCTGAAACAAATGGATCCGGAAAAACGGCCTCCTTGAACCACACACAGTGACTCGGTCGGACGAGTCAACTCAGTGCAACCCCCAACCAAAACAAACACAAATCAAAACTTTGCAGTAACCTCATATCAGATTTGGAATCCCAAGATTGACCCACCAATCTAACACAAGTTCATGACTCCAATAAATTTATAAAGGGTCCACCAAATTAACATTTTATAATTTTTTTACTTAATTTGGTTTTTCCTTTTTTGAACTTAATATATTCCATAAGATCTCAGTATTCTATTAAAGATAAAATCCAGAAATCCATAATAAAAAACTTAAACCAAGCATTTCTTCATAGAATTTTATTTTTGGGAACCAAGGAAACGTAAGTGCAATGGAAAAATCAGAATATGGGAGATCATTTACAAAGAAATGGTTAAACTCACACAAACACACACATACCTGAACATGTTTGGCTCTAACATACGGACTATCACCAGGAGGAAGCTTGTGAATGACATGGTAAGGCTCTTGTTTCTCGACTTTCCATGGGCAGCCATTCTTCATAGCACTCCCCTTCATTTCCTTCTCTCCCTCTCTCTATATTGAAATGGGTATGGATGTTTCTCTCTCTATATTGGCTCTGGTATGAGAAGATTTCAGCTGGAGGCTTCCAATGGCAGAGTCATCAACGAGAGAGAAGCTCGTGTATTCGATCCATGGATGAGATGAACCTGGATGGAAAAATGTCCAAGTTCTTGATCGGTTGGAATTTCGTTATTAATATAGAACAGTTTGTTTGCCACGTCACCTCGTATGGAGTTTGGGGAAACGTGTCGTTAATTTACTGGACTGGACTTGTATTTGCTTTTTATTACTATCGTATAATTATCCTTATTTTGGATAAATAATAATTCTATGCCGACTAAATTTCAGTCCCAAAATCTGGTTAGTATAGCATTATTTTTGGGTAAATTTCTCCAAGACCCTCTCACATTTGATCAATCGCATATGCTCTGTTTGGTATAATGAAAAAATAGAAAGATAAAAAGTTAAATAGATAAATAAAACATTATGTTTAATAAGGAAGAAAAATAGAAAAGATAAAAATGTGGATGAATTAACTTTTCTTTCAACTCATTAAAATCAATTTCTCTAAAATCGGATGAAAAGTAGATCAAAAGTTAATTTTTTGTGTTTAGATATATCTTATTTATTTATATATTATATATACATTAATTTTATATAAAAATACAATGATAAAATATATATATATATACAAAATTTAAAATAAAAAATAAAAAATAAAAATAAATTAAATAAATTAAATAAAAAATAAAAAATTTAAATTAAAAAATATTTTTTTCATCTTAAGCGGGATGAAAATTTTCGACTCAACATGATGACACGACTCGAACTCGAACTCGACACACATTTTATGGCACAAACTTGATTATAATTCGACACGAACTTAAAAATGACTTGATACGAGAATAAGAAATATATAAGAATCATAATTTTATGATTCAATACGAATTTGACATGACACGACTCGATTGTTATCCCTAATCTTAACCAGCACAAAAAAAAAATAAAAATTAGTCATTGTTATTTTTCATCCATCTAACCAAACACAAAAGAAGGAAAGTGTATCATTTTTACTTTCTATTTTTGAAGGATATAAATTATATTTCTCATACTTTTCCTCTTTCCTATTCCTACCAAACGGAGCAATAGAGACTCTTTGATATTTCAAAAAAAGATATAAAGACTCCAATCGACATTAAAAAAGGGGAAATTCCTGATAACTCTTATTGTTCCCCTTGAAGAACCATTAAGTGTTATCATGCTTACCTTGGGGCAATTAAGTCTTATTTTTGATACTTTATTCTCAAAAAATTCTATACTCCATCGATAATATGTTTTCTTCTAA